GGAATGCCCTAAGTGACTCTTTTTAGAGGAGGGAGCTCACCTTATTTGTTTTCCTTTTTACATATTGGCTTTAACAGTATTTTCTGTTTATGTGGCAGACTTCTTTTATTGAAAGATGATTTAACGCTAACTAAACTATTTGCGAATCCCTTCACTAACTAGGTTGTCATGTCTTTGTATATGAATAATATCACTACTCGAGAACTTGCTTTCGGTCTCTAAGATGCTCACTCATTAGTCGCAAATCAGACACTTTAATTTGAAACAAAATGATGTTAGATGTTACTTTAATTTTAAAACCTTGCGTTTAGTTTCAGATGCGGCAAAGTCTTAGGTGATTTTGGTTTTTTAGTGTAATGGATTTGTTGCCAACTGAATCAAAAAAGACACTTTCACCAGTCCCAAATTTGCAATAGCAAACGATCCAACCCAAAAAAAAAACATCATTTCAAGTCAACACAGAAACAATCATATTCAAGCAAAAGTCTAAAACGCAAATCAGTTCCCGCAAAAATGTTGTCAATCAGAGAGAGAGAGAGAGAGAGAGTTAAGAGTAGAACTCAGAGATAGAGAGAGAGAGAGTTAAGAGTAGAACTCAGACAAAAGCTTCTCATCAGTGATCATTAATGGTAAGTGAAGCCAAGAGATCACTTGGGCTTCCACTCTTGCCTTCACTTTGCTGATTCACATTTCTCAACACATCTAATGCCTCCGAAACTTTAGCATTTAGAGCCTCAGGTGACTCCAGTAGATGCAAAACTTCAGGCTGATCCATCTCCAGAAGCATACCAGTCACTTTGGCAGCGTTCTCGTGCTCTATCTGGTCCACTAATGGGTAAAGATTCTCACCAAGAATCTACACAAACCCAAATGATAACAGACATTGTAAGTGAACTTACTCTTCTCCAATCACCCAAACTAGATTTGAAAGAGTACATATTGAGAGAGACTACTCACTGTTCTCTGCTGAGCAGGTGACGCTTGAGCAAGGGAAGAAGCCAATGCACCAGCGGGAATAGGCTGAACAAGAGGCATTCCATTAATGTCATAAGGAAGTGGAATCATTCCTCCTGGCATTGGACCGTCGGGCATGTTTCTACCAGGAGGGTAACGGTATCTTCCGCGTCCTCTTGGCATCATCTACGAAGAGAACAAAGTTAAATCAAGGGCTTAAAGGATCATCCATCCTGTGCCATGTTTTTTTTATAATTAAAGCACTAACTAACCTGTGGCTGCATAAAGGGCATTGGTTGCTGAGGCTGATGGCGCATAGGTCCATCACCTGACCGTCTTCCACCTGGTCGTGGTCCTTGCTGACCTGGCTGCATCATTGGCCCGAAAAAGCCTGGCCTCATTCCAGGAACCATATGAGGCGGATATCCGAATCCAGCCTATTACAGATTTTTAAGAAAATCAGATGAGCACATCAAATGAAACAAATCTGAGCTTAGAAAAAAGGTGGTACCTGGTGAGGGATGACTGGTGGAGGCCCTTGACCATAAAACATCGGTTGTCCAATACCTGGAGCACCACCTGCGAATATTGGCATACGAGGATTCATACCAGGGATAAAGGCTGGTCTCATTTGGGAAAACTGTGCCTGAAACAAGACCATAATAGGGGACATATAATGGATCAAACCAAAGTAACTGATGATGATAAATTGGTCTATGATGGTGGAAAGTAGTATTACCTGCAGCTTAGCCCTTCTTTCTTCTTTTCTTTGTGCAAGAGCGACATACAACGGTTTACCACTAACCATTTTACCATTCATTTCGTTCAGCTGCAAAAGATCCCAAAAGCATATAAATAAAGAGCGAAAAAAGAGACACTTAAAACAGTTTAGTAATGATCTCTGAAGACAATATAAGTTTGTCTAACCACTCTAGATGCTTCACTGGCAGCAGAAAAGGCAACAAATCCTGATCCTTTGCTAGTACCACTAGGATCTCGCATAACCTGACCGTTTTCAAAAGCCAAGAAATTCAAATCAATCAAGAGACAAAAGTAAAAGTATGCTCAAAACCAACAATACTGACCTTGCAGGAAGTGATTGTACCAAACTCAGCAAACAGCTCACGCAACTTTTCATCCGTAACAGTTTCGTCAAGATTCTTAACATACAAATTCAAACCATCAAACTTGTTTCCAGTCTCCCTTACACCTTGTTCATATCTTCTGCTCAACTCAAGTTCCCTCTCAGACTTCTTCTGAGCTTTACCTACATACCACTCCTTGTCATCAAACTTCTTTCCGTTCAGGGCCTCAACAGCACGAGCTGCATCTTCAGCATTCTCAAAGTTAACAAATCCAAAACACCTGGATCTCCCTTCACCATCCCTCATAACCACAGCGCTTGAGATACTACCGTACTGACCAAACGTAGTCTTCAACTCATCATCCGTTGTCGTCTCCGACAGATTCTTCACGTACACATTGGTAAACTTCATCTTATCAGCAGCAGACTCTCTCTCCTCCTTCTTAAGAAAAGGTCCAACAAAAATCTGTTTATCATTCAGCATTTTACCGTTGAGCCTCTCAATAGCGCTTTTAGCTGAATCCTCACTCTCAAACTGCACAAAACCATATCCTCTGGACTGACCCATGTGATCAGTAGCGACCTTACAGGACACAATGTTTCCACACTCTGAGAACGTATCGTGCAGTGTCTTGTTGTCAACTGACTTGTCCAAATTCTTCACATAAGAAAAGAAACACCAATAGAATCAGCCATCAACAAACAGAACATAAGCTAGTAGAGAGGTCAAAACTCAAAAGGCAAAATTACCTTGACAAATAAGTTGCCAATCCCACTTCTACGAGCAGCAGAGTCACGAGAAGAGTAAGTAATCCGGATCATCTTGCCATTGAGACTAGTGTAGTTCAGCTTCTTCATTGCCTTCTCCGCTGTCATTACAAAAACACAAACACAATAAAAGACTCAAAATGCAACCAAAACTTCAAATTAGACGCAAAGGAACATACTTTTGAAAGACATCATGCATTCTAAATCACTACAAACCACATGATTTTGACCCATTTCTAATTAGACGGAAAGGAAGATACTTTCGACACACATAAGCATTAACATTTCAATCTAAGCAATACCCATCACTCAGATTACCCTAAAACACAATGCTGAATGCTAAAAAAAAAAAAAAGGAGAAAGCTTTAGAGCACAAAACCATCATCGATGTTGCTGTAGTTGACGTAGCCATATCCAAGAGAAGTATTCGTGGCTGAGTCACGGCAAACGCGGACAGACACGACCTGGCAGACCTCCGTGAAATAGTCGTAGAGCTGAGAGTCAGTGACGCTGAAATCCAGATCTCCGACGTAGAGGGAACACATAGAACCTAGATTCACTCCGTCAGAAGCCACCGTCCCGTCTCCGACAGTAACCAGAGGAGGAGGAGATGATGACGACGACGGAGGAGCTTCTGGTTGTTGAGCCATTTTTTTGTTTTTTTTTGTTTTTTTATTTTAAAAAGGGATAAATAAGGAGGACGACGGGTATGGAGGGAAGACGAAGTCGGAGGTTGTGGGCAGCACGGCGAGACCGCAGCGGAGAGAGATTGGAGGAAAAGTTGAGTTTATATATACTTGGTCAAGTCTCTCTCCTCTCCCATGATGCCTTTCCTCGAAAACCCTAGCCGAGTTATAATAATTAAATTAAATGATACTTTTTATTTTTGACGGTTGAGATAGTACACAGGATAATTTTCTTTATTATCAACCGTCCGATTCTTTTGTCTTTTTAAAAAAATAAAATATATAAGAAATAGTCTGCGTTGTTTATCAGCCGTCCGATTATTTTTTAAGATGTAAAGTACCGATGGGTCCTGCCATATCTCACGTGATCATCTCGTGTCTCGGCTGAACATACCGCTTTCATGAATGTGTATCTACTACTCCCTCCGTTTCATATTAAGTGTCGTTGTAGAGAAATTTTTGCGTTACAAAATAAGTGTCGTTTTCAGTTTTCAATGCAAAATTTATTAATTTTAGGTATAATTTGTTTTTCTATTGGTTAAAATATGGTTAGGTATATGGGTAATTGTGTTTTTATATAGGAAATATGTAAAATTAATTATTTCCTTAATCCGTGTGCACAGCTGTAGAGTGACACTTATAATGAAACAGAGGGAGTACTATCTACCATATCTTTACATTCTTTTGTTTTTTTTTTGTTCAACGTTTACATTATCTTTAGTGACTGCTTGACCCAAAGATCTGATCTTTAGGTCAATTTACATTCACTTTTAGAGAAGTGAAGCATTTTTATCATGTTAAAAAGAAAATTCAGTTATACGCATTAGTGTGAACCTTTATCAGATTTTGAACGGTTTTTAATGCCTGTCCTTCTCGACTATAGAATCTTCTTTGAAAAGTAACAATAAAATACTTCTTTGTGCAGGTTATATGTGTTCCAGAATTTTGAAGTTGTATTTGTATGACAGACTCTTGTGACTTCCTTCTCTATGAGAATTAAAGATTGTTGGTGGAATGCTGATGATGAATCTTTTTCTATTTGCTTGGTTTGGCTTGTTTCAGTTTTTTTTTTTTTAACTTGTTGGCTTTGGATACATTATCAGATAAATGAAACCAACTACATTATGTATTGCGTTTCCTTTGTTTTTAAACGATCAATGTGAATTTTCAGTTGGATCTATGCTGTTGAGTGTAAAAATGCATAATAAGAAGATGTTCTCAGGCAATGAATATATGACACTATGGAACATGTGAGTCTTTTGTTATTGTTTCTTCAGTCTAATCTAATCGACTATTCAGGTCAATAGTTATGAGTTATGACCATAGCATAGAACAACAGTTCATTTTTGTTTCTCTATTTTTTAATTTATGTTTTGTGTTAAAGAGGTTTCTAACTAGTTTTGTTGATACCCGAGGACAAATGTTTCTTGGGATGGACTTGTGTTCAAATTTCGTGATGGACTTGTATCACTTTTTTTTTGACTTGAGTAACAGAGGACCCACAGTCTCACTCTCTTCGGTTCGGTCAGGTAACCCTTGTTAACGCTGATGAATCATTGTTTTTTTTTGGACAACCTGATGGAATCATTGTTTGAGTAGGATTTAACACATAAATATGGCTTACTAAAAAGCTAGTAAACAAGTTAAATTGACGATGATCACATGATTTATCTCCGAAGGTCAATTATATTGGATCAAAGGACTACCACACTACTTAAGGTACTAAACTCTGAGTCTAACGATAATAACCAAGATGTGGTCATCCCGCGGTCAAACAGTTACACAACAGGTCGAGATCTCCGGAGAAAGACACGATGTGCATCCTAGATACGTAGAGTAGTTGGAGCGAGTTGAGCAGTTTAAAATACAAGTCAAGACCATTATTTTATATATGCTTTTTGATTTACTCACTTAAGACCTAAAATACTTTTTGAGATGTATTAACTTGTGTTTTGTTCTTTGTATTCATCATATTTATTGTCATTAGTATTAGTCATATTCGAACAAACTATGTTTACAGATCTACTTGCATAGATCATTTACCATCGTTTTCCTAAATTTTACTCTATTCATATTAAATTTTGATTGTGAATTTTATCTCTCAGAATCATCTTTTTTTTTTGTGGGCAAACAACAATGGGGGTGCTATTAGCATTATCGACTAATCAAATTTTATGACGCAAAAGTAACTTTAGAAGCTTCCAATATTCTTAGGAATGTGGCACGCATTCCCTTTACTCAATGAAGTGCTATGTGCATTATTCTGTGTCATTTTGGTAGAAACAGAATCAGGTTGTGTTTTGTTGATGGGTTAGGTTATCAGATACTTTGATTCTCATCTAACCTTACTTTTGAATAATACAAAATGAAAAATCCTTTTTGTTTCTTTGGTTTGTTTATCCACCAAAGTATGTACTCTCTTTTACGGTACTTCTTACTTTTGTTCAACGAAAATATTTGTATGCCTTTGCTGCTGAATTTTTGTCCTTACCATAATAGTAAGTTTGCTTCTTGTTGAGCTACCATTTGCTCTAAACTTTTTACTTTTTTTTTATATGAGCTACCATTTGCTCTAAACTTTTTACTCTTTAGTTTATATATATAACGGTGAAAAAAATCATTGACTTCACTAATTTACTAATAAAATAATGATTGAAACATGTTAGCTGATTAAAATTCCACAAAATCATCATAAAAACTTTATGAATGCTAGAAATGTTAAAAGAGAAATCATGCTTTCAAAAATGGGAAAATATGATCTTTCGTTGATCGTTAGTTTTTCCTTATTCAGTTATATATTAATTTTCTTCTTCTTTATATTCGTTTCTTTTTGAAATTGTGGGATCACAGAGAACATATGTCTAAAGAAAAAGTTGGTCATATGTTTGTGGTCACAAGACTTGTGTTCAATCTTTAGTTTCACTTCACACATCACCTGCTGTATAAACCGTTCCTCACTTGTCACGTTTTGGAATTTACCAAATGGTTACGATAAAAGAAACATATAATCAATAGAAGAATCTTGCCGACAAATTCTGCCAAAACAAAAATAAACCCTAAAACATTAGAATCTTCAAAACCCATAAAATCACTTTTAGTGGTTACAATAATGTTAGAGCTTTAGTTGTTAGGACAGTGAAAATGTTGCACCAACCTCCACAATTGCGTTCTTTTCAATTTCTAACTCATCGATTTCTCATCCCCAACCGCAGAAAAAGGTTCTTTCCTGTTGAGATTTTATGAAATCTTTGGCTTTTCCGTCACATGGATTCAAAACCCGGTCACTGGGAGATTTACATGCGGACTCTCCAATTCTCAAGACCGAAGATCATTCGCAGTGTGTCATATAGTGACGTTTTAGTAGTGTTTTTGCTCGTTTCGATCTCTAGTCTGGACCATTTTGATGGAGAAAGAACACTCAATTATTGAAGAAAAAAAATCTTTCACTTTAGGATGGAATTATATACATTATATATATATATAGCCTTTTTATATAGCTGCTGGTAACGGCCGGTAAAATTACACTTAAGCTACAAAATGAATTCTCTCCGAAAAGCTATTACGTTGACTGATCCGCGTTTGATGTCTGGAGATGTTTGAATCATTTGTTTCCATATTACTAGGTAAACTAACTATACCAAAACTCAAATTTAAACTTTTGACATAACTACTTTTTTTCCATAGGAGTTCCGAACTCCAAAAGAACTTAAACAAAATTCAAATAATAACAAACCAATACTTAGGGGGAGTTATATGGAATTTGATTGATACAGAGTGGTAGTTATAAAAGTTAAGAACTTTGTTAAATTTGAAAGTAGGGAAAGTTTTATATATTAAAAATATATTAAAACATCTTACCACAATGATCTTAAGAATCAAAATAATTTAACTACCATTTTCAAAATTTTGTTCATAAGTTAAGTTGTTTAGAATATAATTACTAATAACACAAATTTATAGAATCATTAAAATTCAAACGGTTGATTAACAATGAATTTTGTATGTAATTATATATAAAATCACCAAACCAATAATATTAGATTTTAGTATAAACATGAGACTCTATATACCAATAACAATATCTGAAAAAATAAAAATTATTATAAATCTATTCCGCTAAAACTCTCTTTGAATAAATATGATCAAAATAATAAAAAGAACTTTTTTTGTCAACTGCAATTAAAAGAACTAATCGGCTTTTCTTACAACAAAATTAATTAATTTTACACAAAATATTAAAAAGAGCATATAAACTGAAACAAAATATTTTTTCGTAGACAACTTAAATTGAAATAGATCATTTTCATAGAACAATTACTTATCGTGAAATAAAGACAGTATGTACATTTAAACCATACCGTAAAAATATAAATTTACTATATGTTGTGGGTTATGTGCACTAGTACCTACTAGGTAGCAATTTAAATTAGCCTTCAAAATCTAAACTTTACAATACTTATGTTTTTTTCATGTAAAATTGTATTACATTCGTAATAGATGTTCATGTCTAATACATATAAAATTGAGAAAAAATGTTATTTTAAAAATTTTGCATCACAATTTTTTTATTTGATGCTCGAGAAACTCATCATTACCCTTCGTTGTTGTCTTGTTGATATTCATCACCCTTTAAGAAAGGTCTTACATTATACATCTAAACATTGTCATTCAATAGAGAAAAAAATTGACAAAATGCATTAAAAACAACCGTGTGTAACTTTGTGTTAGCTTTGTGTTGTATATATATGTTCTACCATGCCACGGCCAGTCAATACAAGACTAACCACTGCCGGTCAATACAATCCAGTCGTAAATCGTACGTGACAATTTGAGAGTTAAGTAAAATCTTTTGTCGAGGGGGTGAGCAAAAATAAAATGGAGACATGATTAACACTAATGATAAAAAAAATAGGATTTGCGCATGTTAGCGAACAGCGCATCATAGAGACAAACATTCTCCTACAACTACAACTATCTCCTCTTCACCCACTCCTCCTCGCCATCCGAACTTTCCGGGTCGGGTAATTTATTTAAATCGACCCGCTCTGGTGACCCGTTACCGCCCTTAACTTTGGTACCGTTTTCGCCGGATTTCACCACCACCGTGGCTCCAAGCGCATCCACTTGAGCACCAACCTCCGCCGCTTTTCTCCTTATATACGCCGCCGACATATCTCCACGGTCTCTTCCTCCACCCGTGAGTCCGGCCAAAAGCTCCGGGAAATTAAGCCTCGCGGAGGGACCACGGAGGTAGAAAACAGCAGTGTCGTAAGCTCTGGCGGCGGCTTCAGGAGTAGAGTAAGAGCCGAGCCAGATCCTTGAACGCTTGTTTGGTTCTCTAATCTCTGCAACCCATTTGCCCCATTTCCTCATCCGTATCCCTTTGTACGGTTTCAGATCTCTTTTCCTCGTCTCTATCACCATAGTCGCCGCCGTTACTTTCGCTCCCGTCTCCATAACCGCCCACAAAGAAAAACACCAAGTTTTCTTCTTCTCTCGATCTGGGTTTGTCGACGAGAAACGGTTACATGCGATGGGAAGAGTAAGAGGAGAGGAGAGGAGACGAGACGGAATAAGAGAAGGTTTGGGAATTCACCGACACTCCCTACAAATTATAACACTTTCTGATATTACAAGACAGAGAAGACAAACTATCTCTGCTCCTGACTCCTCTCTCTCTCTCTATATATATACTAGTTTAGGCCCGTGTATTGATATTTTAATTTAATAAAAATATTAAAAATCATATATCTTAGTTTTGAAATTGTTTTTACATATGTTATGTAAGATTTATTTTATAGTTAAAAATCCATTTTCACATATAAATTTCAGATAAGGTTTTTATTTTATAATTATAGTGTATATCTAAAATTTTATCAACTTTGTAATTAGAGCTAGATAGAATATTTTTTACCTAAAAGTTTAAACCGGATCTACCCTAAAATAAAAATTTAGAAAAAAGAGAAAACTATCAAATATTCTTTTATAGTTTTTAGGGTGTTAGAAAATAAAATTATTTTTACATAATATTATACAATTATTTTTTTTTTAGGATTTAGAAAATAAAATTATTATCAAACAATTACAGTACAAAAAACATGGGCGTGTAACGACTGCATTTTTCGAAGTTATTTGGTCGTAAAACACACGTTACGACAACATAACGACCAAACACAAATAGTCGTTAGTATCCAGTCGTAATTACCAAATGGTCGTAATATAGACCTAATGTGTACGATCAAAGAATTTGATCGTAAAATAGTTGTAAAGGGCGTATCGTAACTTAGAGATTGATGTGACTTAAAATTACATCCAAATATGTGCACGTGCATTGCTCGTAATCAGTGGTTGTAAAATGGAAGCACTATTTAGATCTAAACGGAAAGTTAATGCGACGTAAATTTTACGACCAAGTTACATCTTCATAGTTGTAATGTAGTCGTAATATTTACAACGAGTTTACCTCCATTAGCTTTGTAGTCGTAATGTCGAGATAATTTTTACGACCAGTTTAATTTGAACTTTATTTTACTTTTACGACCATTTTACGTCTAAGGTTATATAAATTTAAATTTATAAATTTTAAAAATTAAATTAATAATTTTAAATTAAAATTTTTAAATTTTGAATTACAATATTTATACAATCCTTCAGTTTCAAAAATATTGAAAAAATTAACTTAATAAATTCAAAACATAATATATTAAAATTACAAAAAAACTAATTATAAAGATTAATGTTATCGAAAAACTGGAGGTATGCTCCTCGGCTGCTTGCTCGGCAGTCGCCTGCTCTTCTGGAGTTGGATCATGGTTGATTGTCGAACGTCTAGATCGCCACATCTGTGCAAGGACTGGGTTTGTGTTCTGCAATAACATCAAACATCTCAGCCATTGCCCTAATGTGGCTCCTGTTGGCCTGGTTGTTTGTCTGGAGGGTCGAAATGACTTGGTTGGCGTTCGTCAATTCGGCCCGGAGCTGAGACTCTTCTTGAAGTCTTGCAGCATGTTCAGCTCTAGCCCTCGAGACGTCGTTCAGCGTACCAATCCCGATCATCCGTCTCTTCTTCTTCGGAATAACCTTCATTCAATAAAAAAAATAACTTAAGTTAGTACATATATAATAAACTTATAGAATTAATAACTTAAATTGAATAATAATTTTCCTCCTCAAAAATTTTGTCTTGTTCGACGGTGGTTAACTGGACGGGTTTGCCTTGTTGTGACAACTGGGTCTGGACCTCCTGAATCCGAGCCTCAACATCGTTGTAGATCTTCTCTGCTCGTGGATCCACAAATGTCGCATCAGCATGCTGTTACGTCAACTTATAAAGTCGGGAAAGAGACAGTGTTGCCCTTTCCCGAGCAGCCTACACAAATTTAAAATTAAACTCATGTATCCAATAGCCAATTTATTAATATATAATTTTTAAAAAATTAAAAATTAGAAAATTAGTGTTATTTACAATTTCCAAGGCTTTCCTGGCATGTGGAGTCTGTCCAGAAATGTGGGGAGAAGGCAAATTACCCTGAGCGTCACGGGTCAATCGGCACTTGGAGCAACTGATCGATTTTCGAACTGATATAGGCAAATTCCAGTAAGCCTTCAAGCCAGTCCAAACATGGTCGCTTATAAAGATAGGTTTTTCATTATCATGCATAACCCTCCACTTCTCCTTCCAATCGGCCACAATGTTCTTAAGCATTCCTTGGTCTTATCATTGAACCCCTCCTTCATCTTCTCATTGACAGCAATAGACCAATTCCATTTTTTCTGCAAAAATTATTTAAAATAAAAATTAATAATCAAATGAATATAAAATTATAATTATATTAATTTAATAGTTTAATATCCACAACTTACCGCAAATCATTTGTACCAAGTCCTCCGAACGTGGTCTGGTGTAAGCTTCCAGTTCGGATGCGGTTCCCGAAAGTTTGCCTTGATGATGTCTGAGACGCTCCGTCCCAGACGACTATCCGTTGGAAACCTAGAATTAAAAAAAAATTAAAAAAAATTAGGTTGACATATATAATAAAAATTTTAATAATGAAATAAAATCAAACTTAAGTTGATTACCATAAAGTGTTGGGTGGTCGATCTGGATCGATAATGGGTAAACAATCTCATCCCGGCATCTGGAGAAGATCTTCCACTGTGAATCTAGCATAGGGAGCATCCGGTGGTACAAGAAAATCCGGATGGACACCTGCATGAGGTGGAGCAGGTCCAGGAGGCGGAGCACCTACAGGAGGCGGAGCACCTGCGGGCGGAGGAGGGGCATACTGGTGATGAAGATGATGATCGTCCTGATGGTTTAGAGGAACCTCGTGATGAGGATCATATGGAGAATGATCATGCTGAGGATAGTATGGAGGAAGGTCAAACTGAGGCGGAGGCACATATTGTGCTGGAGGAAAATACTCATCAGCAGGAGGCACATACTATGATCTACCTTGCTCGTCGATCTCTGGGATAAACTCCTGGGCAGAAGCATTACCTGAGCTAAAAGCTGATGGATTCGAAGAACCAAGAAATGTATCTCCATAATTAGGTCGAGCTGCCCCCGAAAGATTTCTTAATCTCTTTCTCTCAGACATATCGTCGATCAAACTGTACAAAGAAAATTATAGTTAGACACAATTAATTTAAAATAATCATATACTAATAATTCTAAAACTAATATAATTCTAAAGCTAATATAATTCCATCCTAAAATAATCACATAAATCTAAACTAACCACATAAATCTCTAAACTAACCACCTAAACCCTAAACCCTAAATCTAAATTAAAAAAAAACTTTTAGAGAGGGAAAGTGGTGGGTAGTGAGAGAACCCTAAAACTAAATTAAAAAACCTTTTAGAGAGGGAAAGTGGTGGGTAGTGAGAGAGGAAGAGCGACAAAATGAGCTCTGCGACTCACGTGGTTATATAAGGATTTTCTCGTGGTCGTAACGTAGTCGTAATTAACTTCGACATTACGATCAAAATTGTGTTACGACCACTTAGGGTCCAAGATTTACGACCAATTAGGATCGACACGTGTCCACGTTACTACTATTTTACGACCAAATACATTTACGACCACTTAGGGTCCAAAGATTTACGACCAATTAGGAACTACAGATGTCAATTACGACCAATTAGGGTCCATTATTTTACATCCAATTACGACTACGGTTCAATTACGAAAAAGCCAAGTAATTGAGTTTTCACTAACTTGGAAAACTCAATTACTTAACAAATTAAGCTTATGCGAAATGTCTCGTAGAGAAATGTCCGAGTCCTGAGCACTCGTCTCAAGCTACCGATAAATTCAGTTACTTGAGATAAATGCAGGCTTCGGATAAATCTCTATGGGAACATTTGAATAAGATATTTTCATCCTAAACATTTTTTTTTTAAATCTCTCTGTTGTGCAATTTTTGAATGGAGAGGGTAACATATTTATAGGTTAATTTTTGTCGTAATTTAGAGGTTAAGCTACAATTATATTGGGTCCACAAAACATTACGACGACTTGGACCATATTTATCAGTTTGGTCGTAAAATAGAGCTAATTATACGTCTACTTTGGGACTCTTTCCTTTACTACGACATTGGGTCCAATATATCAAAATTGTTCGTAAATCAGAGGTTATTTTACGATTAATTAGGGACTACAATTTTTTAAACCGAAACCACAAACCCCAAACCCCAAACCTCAAACCACAAACTTTAAACTTCAAATATATCATTTCAAAACTAATTAGGGACTACAATTATTTAAACCGAAACCACAAACCCCAAACCCGAAACCTCAAACCTCAAACCTCAAACCACAAATTTTAAACTTCAAATATATCATTTCAAACTCCAAATTTCATAATCTCAGAAAACATTTTATTAATATTGAAAAATATAATACACAATACAAATTAACTCGAAACTATATGTTATTCTCGTCATCATCCGAACCATCATCCGTGTCATCAGTTTCTTCAAATTCATCTCCGTTGCCTTCGTCCGCTAAATCATCTGGAAGATCTTCATATCCTAGGTTTTGCGGATCAACAAGTGAAATTTCATCAGTACGTTGGTCAGGCACTTCCACTTCATTTACGGCATCTCCTTGCAAAGGCGGTTGTTCATCACTCACTACACGACCACGAGGTGTAACTTTTATAGCGGCTAACCAAGATATTCCAGATATTCTAATCCTCAGATATGGAATAAAACAAACTTGGTCTGCTTGAGATGCCAGAATGTAAGACTCAAATTTGTTGTACCTCTGTCTGAGATTGATATCCACAACTCCAAACTTGTTATACCGAACACCTCTATTCTCTGTGGGGTCAAACCAGTCACATTTGAAGAGGACACATTTCATCTTCACTAAACCAGGGAATTCCACTTCGATGATCTCTTGTAAGATTCCGTAGAAATCTGTTTTACCTTTTACACATACTCCATAGTTCACCGTTGCTCGACGACTTCCATACTCGTAAGTGTGAAACGTGTAATCTCGGGTGAAATACATTGGTGCTGTGGTCACCTTAACAACATGACCTTGTATCAATTCATGAACCCACACACTATAGGATGGATCATCATAATCAATATGTACAAAATATTTATATATTTATTAATAATACAATATCATAATTAATTATAAGAAAAC